AGAACTTGCTGAGCTTATAAAAAAGCAGTTAAAGCTACATGTGACTAAAGCGATTAAAAAAGCTGTGAAAATGCAATAGTGGTGCTCTAACTGTAATCAAACTAGATATAATTCTCGCAAATACATTCAGAAGAAGAAAAAGAAGTCTAAGAAAGCTAAAGTTAATCTCACTACTATAGATTCAGATTCTGATTTAGATTCAAATTCTAACACCTCATCCAGTGATATATCGTCTAGTGATAGTTCTGATTCTAATACAAGTTCTTCCGATTTTGAAGGCGATATCACTGTTAATATTACCAAGTCAAAAAAAAGTAAGACATAGTGGGAAAAAGGACTCTTCTAGTAATAAAGCTCTAAAACTGCGAAAAAGCTACGCAAGACAAAACAGGGGCTGGATGCACTAAAGTATGATCAGGAAAATAGTAATACTAATACTAATTCTTTTTTAACCAAAGCTGACCAGAAAACTATTCATAAAATAGTTCGAAGTAAGTTTGGTTCTACCCTTCGAGAAGAACTTAAAAAGATCCTTCCTTCATATATGATTTAAGCCCTTCCGCTAAATACTAAGAAGTCAGATCAGGAAAAAAACATTAAATCTAAAGCCAATGATTTTTTATCTTTCCAAGAATCAGCTCCTGCAATACCTGACTCAGATGAAGAAGAGACTTTGAATGATCTAATGGAAATTGATTTCGTTCAGAAAAGGGAGCTAAAAATAAGTGTTGCAATGATAAAGTGTAAAATTAAACGTTTAAAGATTCTAGCCATAACAGTTGACTTTAGAGCTGAGCCTCCCATTATAACAGAAAATATCATTGAATACGTGAAGGCTAAAATTGATAAATCTGAAATACATGATCTCAGTGATATTGCTACTGTCCCAGTTGAATCTGTTAGAGTTATCCATAATTTGCCTATTACTCTAGCCTCAGGTTGTACTATTTATGAAGATTTTATCGTAGTAAAATACCACAAGCTGACGCTAATATTTTTCAACTAACTTTTAAAGAAATACAATTGCGTATTGGATTGGAAAACCAATGAGTTAAAGATCCCTCTTAATGGAAAAGACTATATTATTCCAGTCACTATGCATAAGGTCAAGAATAAGCTTAAGGTGAATTGCGTGAATATTACTCCTGAATGTGATGATCTGTCAGCTTCAGATAAGATTTCTCAAGACCCGTAGGATTTAAGCGAAAATAGCACATTAAAAAAAAGTGAGTTATGAAGAGTTCAAAAAAATGCTATTTACTGCCCTCAAGTCTAAAGCAGAATTCAATGATTTATGCGAAAGATTACAGATAGTTTACTCCAGCAAACAGTAAAAACAATTAGATAATAGCTAGAAAGTGAGATATATCTGCTTTATTTTTGTCGTCTCTCTTAACCTCATTCTTATAAAATGCATTTAATTCTTCACCTTTTAAGCCTTCAGAGTTTTCTGAGGTCAGCTTAATCTAAATAATAGGCAACTTAGGGATACGAACAGATTTAGACTTAGTTTTCTTTCTTCTAGTCTTTTTTGCCTTACTTTTAGTAATGGTATTACACTCCAATGGAGTCTCAGATATATCCTGTCTATCAATAACATTTGTACTTAGATAAGAAAGCGGAACTGCTGAATAGTTTCATTTGACCCTTTCAACCTCCTGTCCTCTTCAAATCTGATATAAATGAGAAGTTAATACATGGAATCTCTTTCTTAATTGATCCAAAGGCTTAGACTTCATATCTCAGTATTGTATGATATCTTCGTAATCTGCAGAAGATAATTTTGTAGCATTGGAGTACATATATTTTCTTGGTGAAGAGTTGATTATATTAGCAGTCAATTAGATTTTCATACTATTAATAAAAAAATGTATGCAAAATATTAATACTATGTGAACTATATGCACTATCAAAACTATACAGAGAACCAGTATTATGCAGAGTATTAGAAGGATTAATTCTACGCATAGTATGAAGACTATTTGTGATATTAGTAAAAAATGTGTATAAAAAATTAATACTACATGAAGTATCAGAAGTATTAGAAGTATCAGGAGTATCAGTGCTATGCGTAATATGGGATCTATCTATCTTATAAAAATAACTTTCAGCACTTTTTCTCATATTTATTTGAAAAAAGATCCACGTGATTTTGACTGGGACGCCTAGCTGAAATTTGTTAAGAAAAGGCTATCTTTCACAGATCGACAGATCAAGAGAGAAGGAAAATGATTATAATGATTTAAGTGAAAATTACATTCATTCATTTACTAAGAAGTTCGACATAATTATATATGCTTTTTATTTCTTTATCCTGGCCATTATTTTAGTTAGCAAAGCTAACATCAGTAGGATGATCTTAGTTATTTACGCATGGGATTTATATCGGTATTTCTTATATTTAATTACTCTGAACATAATTTTCTTACAGTTCAGACTATCGTTTGAATACCTAAGTTGATTTTCAATCGCATATTTTTTATTATACTAGTAACTAAGCTAGAAAAAAAAGGTTATGACTAATGTATATACCTTGAGAGATATCAATAATAATGGTCTTCAGTTTAGTAATATATATGAGCAAGAACTCGAAGAAAAATTATATTCTGCCCTTAAATCTAAAGCAGAAATCAATGATTTTAGTAAAAAGTTAGTAGATAAGTATTCAAAGAGAGAAAAGGAGTTTAAGCAAATCTATGCTGATATCAGAAATAAGGTTAGTCAGATGAATGCGCTCAATACTGAGCTTAGATTTAAATTTACTTCTGAAAGGATGACTCGTACTGAACTCAAAGCTAAAATCAAATCATTTAAATCAAATATTAAAACACTAAAGAGAGAGGTAACTTTAGCCCAGAAAACTTCATCCGCTGATAAGATCAAGATTTTTTCTCTTAAAGTTAAAATACGAGAATTGGAAGGTAAGTTAAAGGATATAAAACTGGATCTACTGTTCTATAATTCAGATATAATGGAGGAAACGCCAGCTCAAATAAGCTCATTTGATCCCAAAAAGATCGATTCTCTTTGGCTTAAATTGGATTGAGTGAAGGAGGACATTAATTCAAAAAATTATGAAATAGAATGTATGAAAAAAAGGAAAGAGTCATCAGATAGTATATATAAATGGGAAATAGATATTCAGTTTTTAGGATGATTAAAATTGATAGATGAAAATAGGTCCCTTAGGGACCAGTTAACATTAAAGAAAAAGCTGAGAGGCGTTTCGCATAATGAAGTAGATTCTTCACCTCTGCCTATAAATGATTTATCGCAAAATATTTCAGGTTAGGTTAGTGATAATCTAAGACCCCTCGTTCATGAGCTTGATTTTAAAGATAAAGTGAGAGAACTTGGTAAAGAGTATGTTAAGAAAGATATTTTAGAGGTATTGCAAGAGTTATTATCTCAGGATGAGATGGTTTCAAGAAGCAATCCTAGAATGACCGGCTAGGCAGATACCTTACCTAATCAATCTATTTATAGTTTATCAGCATATTCTAAAAATTTTATTTTGAGAAAAGAGATTGTAAAGCATTTAGGTGGCATAGAAGTAGTATTATTATCCCAAAAAATGTCTCTAGTGAATTCCGCTAGAATTGCACTAGCTATCCCTACTGTTAAAAGTTCCTTAATGTCTTATGTCATACTTACCTTATTTCTTCTTACGGTTATATAGATCATTGGAAAAAAAATATGGGATTTATAGAACAATAAGCTGAAAGAAAAAAGTAATACCCCTTTTAACTGAAAATATTTTTTATTATCTTCGGGTATTTTTGAGGCTGGATTATATGATTGGAGACCAGAAGTTCAAAGATAGGAATTGAAGTTAGCTAGTATTATTGCACAAGAAAAAAAATATACTACTATAAATGATATTGTAAGTTCTTAGTTGAAATTGTCACACCTCCACTAGAATATTTAATAATATTATCTATTTAAGTACTTTGCTAATGCCTCTGGTCCAGTTATATTCTCAAGATGGAAATATCATAAATTACTAATATTATCTAGTGCCTCAATTTCTAATATGTAAGGTAAGACAGGTAGGTTAACAATTATCTCATTTTTTTATATAGATGAAACTGGGCCAATTTCTTCTAAAATTGATATATGTTCTTTATAACGCATATGATAGACTAATTTATGAAAGAATAAATTATACTCTTCAATACACTTCGTAAGCTCACTAGAATATCAAGTAAAATCAGAACATATTTTTTCCTTCATTTTGTCATCTACTGATAGGTTTTTATCTTTTGAAATTTTTCTAGTACATTTCATAAATCTTCCTCATAATATCTCGATAGGATTACTTTTCATAAAAATCTCATAGTTAAGCCATTTATCATGAAATATTTTGTATAAACCTCCTATCTTTTGATATAACATTTCTTGTGCTTTTTTAACTGCATTTCTGTAAGCACGCTTATAAACAATCCCATGGGATCCTATCATCTTATAAGTAACACTATTGACTATGATATTCTCCTTCACAAAACCCTCAAGCCATGATTTGGCTTTCTTTTATGCATAATTATCTATTTGTTTATATTTCTCATCTGAATTCTTGATTTGCATTATCTTATCTGAGAGAGCTGGCTCATACTTCTTATTATACATGATAAATCAGACACAGAGACTAATAATAGTTTTTTTTGAAATAATGATATAAATCTAGCTTCTTACCTAATTCCTTCGCCATATCAACGAATTCCATTCTTTCACCTTTCATTAGCATTAATTTTCTACCATGTAAATTAAAAGTTATGTCAGGATGGGTTACTATATAACTAAAGCGCTCACCTGGCATCAGAATTTTACTCCTCTCATTTGTCCTATAAATCGCTGAACACTTTGGTTATTCACATTAGGTTTTATATGTCAGTCTCTATAAACTGTTCGAAATTCCATTGCTTAATATTAACTAAAATATCCCTAAGAATGTCTTTAGTAATATCATGAAGTGATCAGTCATTGTTAATATCCATGACTTCTCATATAATCTGATCCCCTATGGTTTTGAAAACTTGGGATTTATCCTGCTTCACAGTGTCGATTCCTCTTATAAAAAATTCTTTAGGTTTGAAGTTCAGGGTATCTTTATGAGGAATACCAAAATACTTTTTCTTCCCAGTGAATACTACCAGAAATAGTACTTCTTCATAAGCCATTTTGAGATAATCTGATCTAGTTTTTAATCTAAGAAAGTTGTTTACTTCATTGCGCAATTTTTTCATTATTCCTATAGTTATTTTGACCATTTTGGTCTAGTACTCTTATTTTGAGATTACGTCTTTCCTAAAATCGTAAGATAGATCGTATTTTTCATAATAGGAATCTGGACAAGTGAGATATAGAGAATTGGTATTACTATATTTTATCCTAAAACCTTTCTTTTTCACGAATTCTGCAACGAGTTTGATATTTTTTGCCCAGCTGAAGTAATAGCTCTAGCGAGTTTAAGTATATAAAATGGGGAGTCACTTTGACCAGTTACACTATAAAACGAATTCATATATAATTTAATGGCTTTCTGTTTTGAATTTAGAGAATTATAATCGAAGTAGATAGAATCATATTCTTTTCTAAAATCATCATATGACAAACTAATGAAAGGATTCAGAATGTTGGCTATTTCGGCATGCTTCTTAGGTTCACTTTGTGAACAAATATCTTTGATTTCACTTGTTATTGAGATAGATCCGCTGGCATTCATTCTACTTTTAACTAATCTCATATATTCTTTTTTCTTTCTAAGAGGTTTTAGCTAAGCCTTTAGTTCATTCTGTATATTGAGCAAATTTTCCAGTATTTTTGAAAATAAACCTTTCTGATCAGATTTATTCCCATGCCATATAATTCAGGCTTGCATAGGTTTACCATCATACTTGAACTTAATACTGTAAAGCACTTTATTCTCTCACTTTAGTTTATCTGCTTCTGAAAGTGTTAAAACCATCTTCTCAGGTGAGAGGTTGTAGGTTATAATTATGCTAGGATATAAGGAAGTGAAGTCTAAACCTGTAACGGGACATTTATTTTCAAGACCTTTCTCTAGCGAGAATACATACGCTCCTAGAAACTTTTCAAATGCTTTCTGATTGGAAATTTTCGTGGTGTAGAATATCTTGCATCCAAGCTTTAGCGCCTAAGAGATTAGATATTTTTATTCCTATAGCAAAATAATGTAAGTCAAATAATGATATATGAGCGATTGAGGCCACCTCTCTATAATCATTTATAATATTAGATTTGATCATAAGCTCTTGACAATGTAAAGCATATATAACATAATAATTTACGATTTCATGTATATGTTTTTGGAAGAGTCAGAAGCCCTGTCTTTTACTTCTGAATAATACTTCCATAATTTGCTTATGGGTATGTTGGCTTTGCCATTGAGACCACACTTTTCTAAGAAGAATTTGAGTAATGTTTTCTCAGAGCAGTGGTGGAGTTGCATAAAACTTGTGCGAACGTCAATTGGTACACATCCAGAGAGTTTAAGAAAGTAGGATTCAATACTTAAACTAGGATGGATTTTGATCTTAATAGATTCTCAACATCCTGTTTTTTTACGATCCTTATCTAATAAACTCCTATCTGTCTTTTTTATCTATTGTGAATTCCTCTAAAAGAAATTACTACTAGATGCTTCCCCTTTCCCCCCAAAATAATTCCAAATAAGAATAGAATTAGCATTGGCTTTCTTACATAGTTTTGCCGATATTTGCTAAACTATCCATTTGAGAACTTTTAATTTGGTGACTTTTTCCACAATAAAAGGCCAATCATATTCTGAATCGTTAAAACTAAGCTGGATATCTGGGGCAAAAGATTTCTAATATAAAGCAAAAGCTTTTAATAAATTGGCTTGGTTCTCATATATAATTATTATTTAATGCAGGTCTGGAGCTGTCTCAATATCAACAAGACATATTTGTTCTAGTGATTTTAGATTGTCTTTCCAGTGTAAGATCATGCAGATTGTAAAAACTTAGGATGTGTTATTTTTCACTTCTGAAAAGTTTCCTGATCCACGTGAATTGTATATTTCTATATCTTATGTTAGTACTAATGCTCGATTGTGAGTAAAGAGAAAAGATGAATAGATTTTATAAAGTAGTTCAAAATTCTCTATAGGGCAAAAATTATTAATGTGAACATAAAATGCATGTGGGCAGTGATGGGATCTTATACAATAAGATGCACTGTTATTATATTTATAGTTGTTTATAGATCTCTATCCAGAAAGTGATATCCTATATTCTCTTGCAACTTTATGATAATATGTGCCTGTATCATCTGAAGTTGTCTCTATTTTACATTCAGAACCAACCTTTGAATTGTAGCTTGAGATGATATCGAGAGCAGTAAACCTTTCATCTTTATTAGGTATAATAATATAGAAATACAGCTTTTTTTCGCATAAAAACTACAGATAGGAAACGCTTTTATACATTCCATCTGGATTAGATTCATATTCACAGTGTTCCTACTACCATCTTTCCCAGTAGTAGAATACCTTTATTTTGGACCAGAATTTAGGAATACTTGTATTATCAGGAATACAAATATCAAAAAATACCTTAATACTGGTAATAGTTACGATTGCTTTCTAATCATTAATAAGGTACCCATAAAGGCGGAGGACATAATAAAAGATATTATTAATATATTCTTTAGCTTCTTTTATATTAACTGGCATGTATGGAATATCTCAATGATTCGCTATTTCATCATTAAGAATTATAGTCAAACCCTCATCATTTCTCACAACTAGTTCATTACGAGTTAGAATGCTTATCAAGTAATTCTCGCTAGAATAACGAAATACCTGACCAACTTTTTCTTTTCAGCCTTTGGGTGAAAAAGTAGGGCAGAGGCATTGAGGAAGTCTAAAAGTTCTAAATATTTAGTCATGGTATTTTTTTAGAATATGATAACTAAGTACACCCTTCAGTATAATACACTAGGAAAAAAGTTCAAAATAAAAATAAATATTATTATAGATATCAAAATTAACTAAGAATAATACTGAAGATGAATGATTCTGATGATATATTTATTTTCATTGATAATTACATTGCGAAGGGTGAATACATTTGCTAGTATCGCTCTGATGAAAGGATAGTTTGTGAGAATGAAAGTACGTAACCAGAAGGATGTAGTATTCACTGAAAAAAACGTCAGCGAGCTCTATGCAAACAAGATAGATATGTAAGACTGACAGCTTCTAAATATGGGTTTTGTAATTTGCATATCTAGAAGTATCATTCAAAGGCATATTATCAGCGGAAAAGTTAGATAAGATGCTTCAGAATGGGTAGACTTCAGATACATTAAAACGGAATCTTGATAAAATAAAAATATCTGATACAATAGAGTACTGGCCTTAGAAAGTTGTTCCTAGAAAAAATGCAGGGGATACTTCTGAAGACGTTGAAAGTACGTTTTTAGAATCTTAGAAAGACTTCTAGATAGGCGTCCCTAGTATCCCTAGAGTCCTTAATAAATTTCAGACTTCTTTACTTTTTTTATTTTTTAAGCATACATATATTATGCATATATTATCTATATACTGCCCATATAGCATACATAAGTAGCATAAGAAAAGTTTCAAATTTTTTTTTATAACTTATTTTTTACTAAGGATATTAGGAACACTAAAGATATAGATAGAAAAACACAATCAATAAACTTAAAAACCCAAAAATCGATATCATAGTTGTTCTTAGAAGTGTCTTCAGAAAAATTTCCCTGCATTCTTCTAGGGACAGCAAAAAAACTTAACAAAGTACTTCTGATACCTTCTTTGATGATTTTTTATAAGACAAGATGTGATATATTTTATTAATAAAGATACATAAAAAATAATTATCCTAAAGTGTATACAATAATGGATTTTAAAAATCATTTTTTGAGATGGCAAAATACTAATTTATAATGTGAATTCACACTGACTCGTAAGATTTTAAATATGCAATTAGAAAAAAGAAGACACAATTCCAAAAGGATCCATCCTGAAATTTTTATTATTGTTCATATATTCTTAGAACTGGAGAAGTGTGCAATTGGAGATGCTATAATCTAAAGGGTTGTAAAATTTATCAGAATTCTAGGCAAGTTTCTTGTAAAGAATGTGATAAGAAGATAAGATCCAGATATGACTATTGTGATACACATGCAAAAAAACATAGATCAAAGAAATATTATCATCGAAAAAAGCAGGTTAAGTTAGCTTCGACGCAAATATTGGTAGGAAATTTAGAGGTAAACAAAAATGATACAACTTATCACTAGTGTCACAGGAAAAAAAAGCTCGTGACAGAACTTGTGATGCAAACGATAGGCTCTTTAGGAATTTTAGGCTAAAAAAAAGTTTTCTTGATGACTGTCACAGGTATCACGAGTGTCACAGGAAAAAATTGAGTTTCTTAACTTTTTTTTAGCATACATACAGAGGGTGGACAAAAGTATCCGCACACCCTCCATAACGTGAATTAATGCTAGTAAAGTCATATGAGCGCAATAACAAATTGCGTTTACATGACACTTAAGTGTTTATTTATATTATAAAAATAAAAAGAATAACAGTTTATTT